CAAAATAGGTTAGTTCATAGCTAAATTAATAACACAAAAATGAAAAACGGAAATAAACAAATTCAACATAATGAAACTGAGATGAAAGATAAGAAATTTCCCCAAAAGATAAATCTTTTCGTTAAATCTGAATCTTCTCCCTTTAACTAACCAAAAAGCTCAAAGTTTTACTCTCCAAAATGTAAAAATAGCTAACCCTAAAAAGATCAAGACCCTTGGGAAAAAGGCTAAGTTTTTCTTTTATACTTAGTCCAAATAACCCAGCCAAAACACGCACAACACGAAACTGTGCGTTTAACAAAACTGAATAAATTGATTGTCACCGCGGCGAAGAATGAAGAAATCCCAATCGTCTCTGGCTTACCTCGCCGCAGCGAAGACAATTCCTTCGCCGGGGCGAAGCTCCTTGAAAAGTTCTAAAATTACAGATCTTCGCCGCGGCGAAGAATGAAGAAATCCCAATCATCTCTGGCTTACTTCGCCGCAGCGAAGACAATTCCTTCGCCGGGACGAAGCTCCTTGAAAAGTTCTGAAATTACAGAACTGCCACTCTGCTTGCTTCTTCGTTCAATTCTTCGATTCTCGGCTCTCTTCCTTGGGAACAAGCTTCATCGTGCTTTGTCCTGCTCCGGAACTCTCCCATCTTCTGAGATCCGCAAATTTCTGAGTCAAAACTATCCAATTTTGTCTTTATTTGCTCAAAAAGTCCATTTTAACCTGAAACACGAAAAGTAAAGAATTAAGCAACAATTCAGGTCAAAATGCACTAGAAAGTACCTGAAATCCGACAAAAAGATCTAATAAAAACTGTATAATTTACGGATTATCACCAACTTATGGTCGATTTCCCTCGATGTGTTTTACTTGAAATTTTTCAAATGTAACTTCATCAATCTGGGGTATTTCACCCTTATAGAGATGGATTTTGGCATAGCTTATTGAGATAAACTGCCATTTTTTGGACTCTTGACTCTGAGTTTTTTAGATGTTATCTCGTAGGTTGCAATTTTTGAAGCAATGAATCATAAATGCTAAACAACAAGCAAATAAAAATGGTGAACAAAGAAAAGTTATGAATAATACATCTTTTATTGATAGAACATTTTGGCCATAAGTAGCCTTACAATGAATGATTGAAAGAAAATAAAACATGAGTGGAACCTAAGCTGCTCATTGGTAATACCTTCATAGATGCTCAGCATTCAAGACTCGCAGTATTGCTTCGTTATTGAGGCGTTCTAGGTGGAAGGTTCCTAGTGCGAGCTTTTTAGAGATCCTAAATGGACCTTCCTATTTAGGCCCAAGTGCCCCCAAGTTTAGGTTTTGAGTACTTTGGACACCTTTCTGAGGACTAGGTCGCCTACTTCAAAGTCTTTATTCTTGACTTTGATGTTAAAGTATCGTCTGGCTCATTGTTGATACAAGGTGAGCCTTAACTGAGACTTGGCCTGATGCTCTTCGATTAGGTCTAGCCTCAAGTGGAGAAGGTCTTCATTTGTTTCTTCGTTGAAAACTTCCATTCAAAATGAACTAATCACCACTTCAATCGGGGTCATTGCTTCACACCCGTATGATAGAGAGAATGAGGTTTCTCTTGTCAAGCTTCTGGCTCTCGTTCTATTAGACCACAAGGCTTCAGGCAATTCTTCAGCCTATCTTCCCTTCAGAGTGTCGAGCTTCTTCTTAATGGTGTGTTTGATAACTTTGTTTACGACCTCTACTTGACTATTGGCTTGAGGCCGATAAATAGCAACAAAGCTCTGCTTAATACCAAGCTGTTTGCAAAAAGATCTGAAGTCCTTACTGTCAAACTGTTTTCTTTGTCAGTTATTATAGTGTAAGGGATTTCAAACCTATAAATGATGTTTTTGTAGACGAAATCCTTTAGCTTGTTCACGTGATGGTGGCTAAAGGCTCGACTTCTGCCTACATGATGAAGTAGTCCACGACAACCATTGCAAACTTAACACCTCTTTTTCTTTGAGGTAGAGGGCCTATCAGGTCGATACCCTTGATTGCAAACGGCCAGGCGCTTGTTAGTGTAGTTAACTCTTAAGGTGGAACTCACGGAACATTTGCAAACCTTTAGCATCATCTCATCTGCCCACATAATCTGTTGCATCGTCAAAAAATGTTGGCCAGTAATAACCTTGACGAAGCACTTTGTATGCTAAAGATCTGCCCCCTGCATAGTTTCCACAGATGCTCTCATGGATCTCTCTCAGAACATAGTACGCACCCTCATAGTCAACACATTGCAATAGCGATGAATTGAACCCACGCTTATACAACTAGTCATTGATGAGCGTGTATTGAGCTGACTTTGTACAGAGTGTTCTGGCCTCATTTCTTCCTTCTGGCAATGTTCCATCCCTTAGGTAAGCAATGATTGCATCCATCCAACTGTATCTCCAACTCATTGCTAAGACTGGTTCTTATGGAATGAAGATGCTTGGACTTGGGAGGAACTTAACTAGTATCGAATCAGCTTTCTCTTAGCTCATTGCAGTAGCTAGGCGGGCTAGACTATCGGCTACCGAATTCCTTTCCCTTGGGATCTGAGGAACTATGAAGGATTTGAACTGCTCAAGCTCGGATTTCACCAATTGGAGGTGGGATGCTATTCTATCCTCCTTCACTTGGTACTATTCTCTTTCACTTGGTACTCCCTGGTAATCCAGTGGACTACGATCTAGGAATTACTATAAATTTTGATGGACTCTGCCCGCATTTCCTTGGGGAGGCAGATCCCTACAAGCAATGCCTCGTACTCAGCCTCATTGTTGGAGGCAACGAACCTGAATCTTACTGCGGCTTTGATCAGGTTTTCTTCAAGACTTTCGAGCAAGAGCACTGGTCCTGCCCCCTTCTTATTTAAAGAGTCATCTACATACAAAGTCCATTGCCAAAGGTTGTCGAGCTTTAGCTTTTGCTGTTTTTTTTCTCCTGGGGTATTTGCCCCTAGCGAGCTTATTTCCCCTTCTGGCTGATAGGAGAATTATGATATAAAGTCCACCAAAGTCTGACCTTTGATTGTCATTCTGGGGATGTACTTGATATCATGTTGACTCATGTTCATCGTCCACTAGATCAATATGTCTGATGCATCAGGCTTTGGCATTATCTTCCTCAACGGAAAGTTTGTCAGCACATGAATGGAGTATGCTTGGAAATAAGGTCGTAGCTTCCTAGCGGCAATGACCAAGGCATGGGCGAGCTTCTCCATTTTGGGGTATCTTGTCTCTACATCGAGCAACCTTTAGCTCACATAGTATACCGGCCACTGCACTCCCCCTTCTTCTTGTACCAAAGCTGCGTTAATAGCAGACTTTGATACAATAAATATAACAACAATGGTTTACCCTAGATGGGCTTTGATAACAAAGGAGGTTGTCCCAGATGTTTCTTCAGTTCCTAGAAGGCTCTCTTGTACTCCTCTGTCCATTTGAAACCCTTATTCTCCTTCAAGGTCTCAAAGAATGGTAAGCATATGTCCGTGGCTTGAGAAACAAACCTGTTGAGTGCGGCCACACACCCTATCAAACTTTGTACCTACCTTATGCTGATCGGGCTTTTCATTTCTAGAAGAGCTTGAATCTTCTCTAGGTTGGCTTCAACACCTCGCTCATTTACAAGGAACCACACTTTAAAGGATTGAGCTTCATTTTGTATTTTATGAGGATGTCAAACATTTCCCCCGAATGCTCAATGTGGCTTTCAGTAACCTTTGACTTGACCAGCATGTAGTTGATGTACACCTCCATAATTTTTCCAATTTGATCGGCGAATATCTTGTTCACCAAGCATTGGTAAATAGCCCCAGCATTTTTCAGGCCAAACGGCATGACCCTGTAACAATAAATCCCATGGTTATTAATAAAGGACGTATGTTCTTCATCGGGCTGATACATCGGGATTTAGTTATATCCCAAGTATGCATCCATGAAATTGAGTAGTACATTTCCATCTGTCACATCTACTAACTAGTCGATCTGTGGGAGCAGAAAGTTGTCTTTGGGACAGGCTTTATTTAAATCAGTGAAGTCAACACAAGTCCGCCACTTGCCATTCGACTTCTTAACCAGAACTGGGTTGGCGAGTCAATTCAGGTACTTCACTACTCTGATGAAATTGCTGTTCAGAAGTTTGTCAACTTCATCTTTGAGCGCTTTAGAAGCTCTGCATCCATAGACCTCCTTTTCTGTCTTACTAGTCGAGCTGTTTGATCGATGTTCAACTTGTGGCACATTACCTCGAGGCTGATCCCCACCATATCCGCATGCACCCATGCCAACATGTTGAGGTTTTTCTTTAGAAACCCTACCAGATTATCAGCCATTTCTTTGCTTAAGTTGTTGTCGACCTTTAGTATGCAAGTTGGTTCTTCCTCGCTAACACATATTTCTCACAGCTATTCTGTTGGCCCTGCTACGAGCTCTTCTCTATGGATGCAAAGATCAATGGTATCCTCGAGAGGTCTAGGGAGCCATCTAGGGTATGGCTCAAATTCTATAATGACCATTGTCCTGGGGAGCAACCATTTTAGTGTAGCATTTATGGCCTGGTTGTAACATTCCCAAGATTCTTTTTTACAGCTTTTAATCATCGTGACTCCCTTAGGAGTCAAAAACCTCATTGTTTGGCAGCAAACTAATATGATTGCGCTTAACTCATCCAAGATCGGTCTTCCGAGGATGACATTGTACGTGGTTGAGAGTTTACCACTAAGAATTCAGCCATCACCGTCCTGATTTTGGGTTCTACCCCCAGAGTCATGGAAAGGTCAATCGTTCCTTTGGGGACCAAACTGTCCCCGGTGAATCCATAGAGTGGCGAAGGACAGTCCCTCAAGTCTCTCTCTGTGAACCTCATTTCTCAAAAAACTCCCAAGAAAGTGATGTTCAATGTACTTCCATTATCAACCATCACCCTTAGCCATCTAGAATTATCGATCCTGGCTACGATTATGATCGCATCATGATTATGGCGAGAGGATTCTTCGCATTCTTCGACCGTGAATCCTACCACCTCGCTCTCCTATCTGGGTCGCTTTGGCGGTTTTTGTTCACAGCTCGTTACCCAGGGGACCAAATCTATTCTGGCCTCTCGAGTATATTGCTTACGAGTGCGCTTTGAGCTCCCCATTATGTCGAGCCCCTCATAGATCATGCCTACCTAGACATCATTGTTGGTGTTGGTCAGGGCTTGCTGGACCTAGTTATTTTGCTCATCAGCATTTTTGCTATCTGGTGCCTCCTTAACAAATTCTTTTAGGTGGCCTCTTCATATCAGGTCTTCAATGACATCCTTTGAGGCTCGACACTCATTGGTATTATGCCCGAGGTGTCGGTGGTATCGGCAATATTTTTTCTGATCTCTTTTGCCTAAAGCTCCCCTCATTCTTTCTGGAGCAGGCAGTCTCTTTGCCTCACGGGAGACTTCGTAGATGTAGGCTATGTCTTGCATAAGGGGGTATATTCTTCATATCGCGGGAAGAGTTATCTGTCCCCCATGGTTATCTACTTTCTACCTTTTTATGGGACCTATTCCGGTCCCTATCATTGTGGTCTTAGCCCCTCCTCTTATCTGATGGGCGATCTTGTCACCTATCCGAGGCTCTTCGTGGCAAGTTTCTAGCTAAGGCTACTAGCGAGCTTTCTACTCACTGGTGCTTTGCAGCAATCTAATAAAACTTTGTCAGGCTCACGTGATCTTCACTTTGGAGTTCTTTCCACAACTTTCTGTTCGACCTAATGCCTACAATTAGCAAAGTCCAGATTGACTTTTCGGGTGCATCCACGACTTTTGCCTACTCGTTCTAGAACCTCGTTAAATACAAGGTCAATGTTTCATCTCTCTCCTAACGAATGTTGCTCAAATAACTGAGCAGCATTGCACATTGTCTCCTCGCTTGAAATTGCTGCAAGTATAATTAGGAGAATTGTTGTCAGGAGTTGATAGAGTTTACCTTGAGTCTTTTGTACCACCTCTTGGAATCCCCTACCAATGTGACCGCGAAGCAACGACACTTTGCCAAGTCACAGACCTTGTGCAGCTTCATCAGGTCATTGAAAGTGTCGAGGTGGTCTCTAGTGTCTCATCTCCCATCGAACTTACTTTCTAGCACCCTGAATCCTTATGGAAGAGGGGCCTGGCGAACCTCCTTTGTGAAGGGAGAGCTCACTATTTCTTCCACTGCGCCGTTCTGACGGGCTTTTAGGTTGTTGAGCGTTTTCTGTACACGATCTAAGTCTTCGTTGTGATTACCCTAGCTGGCTCTGTTTAACCTTACCTCGAGCAAGTGAGTTCATAAATTTGTTGCTTGCGAACCCCCTCCATTATGCGCATTCACGCGCGAAGTTGAATCATGGTGGCTTGGTTGATAAGTGTTATCATGCTCATCAATGCGTTGCTCGCTATGTTGGTTATAATCGGAACGTCGGTCATTGCCAAATTGGCGCACATGATTCGTCTCGCGAGCTTGCGAGGATCAAGCTTATCTTGGGTGTAGGTTAAGACTGGCATGTTGACATTAATTCGAGATATCACTGAGCAAGTAGAGCGTCTTGTGGGCGACCATTACTTTTGCTTTCACCCATTGGTTGTTTCCCTGGCCGCCTCCCAAGGTTAGTTTGCCCATGGGATTCACACTCGTGAGCGGAGTGTACTCTATGATGTCAAGGGTGTCGGTCACCCCTTGGCGTCGATGAGCCAGACTGGTCACCAACTGAATTCTGACCTGTCGGCGATATCGGTGAAGCGTGGCTGGTTAAGGTTTTGTAAGTTTGGTTGTTGATTCCTCAACTCAACCATGTTCTGTTGCACCGCTTGTGCAACCATTGTTCTAATCATCTCCACCAGCTAGCTGTTTTTAGGGTTTGACGTCCCTACCTCCTGGTTATTCACAGCTTGTTGAGTTGGTAGCACTGGTGGTCGACACCCAGCAGCGTCCTGTTACACCTCCTGATAGGTGGTCTCCACATTGTCGTGGTTTTTGGTGGTGGTTTTCGATCTTGTATGCACCATCGTAGGCCCGAATTAATTAAATCATCGTGGTTGTTTGCCAAAATTTTTTAGATGTTGGCGGAGGTTCAGGCATTCCTTCTAGTGCCAAAATGTTGATACAGAAATCTGCACCAATTAGAGTGATCCGATCGACCTTGGCGGGACCAGAACTTGTGTGTGCGTGATTACGGATAACCAACAGTGAATGAATAATGAATGCAGTAAAGTAAATGGCAAAGAGATTTTGAAAGTGGTTCGGCAAGATGAACTATTAAGCCTACATCCACTGTTTTTGTTATTTGCTATAAGAGCTTACAATAATAATCCTAGAAATATTTTCCAACCCCTTCCTCATCTTTTGAGGGGGTTTATATATAAAGGAAAGAGTGAAAATAAAGGGATTACAATTAAATTGAATGCAACTCCAATATTCTCACAATTGGGTGCTATGATTGCGCAAAGATTGCTGTCAATCTGATCCTTACCGAGATATCTGGGATCTGAAGTTATTTAGGAATTGGTTGAGCAACCGCAAGGATTAGTCACGACTAGCTTGTGCTAGGTCGAGCTGTAGCCCAACGAGCTTATGTTGGGTCAAACAATCGGTAGAGTCGAGCTGGTTCTAGATCGGGCTATAACCTCGCAATACTTCGAGCTTGATGGAAAAATCGGGCTATAACCTCGCAATACTTCAAGCTTGATGGAAAAACCACACTCAACACTCTATATCTATAAATTATAATTTGTAATGGGTTTCTTATGTAATCAAAGTTTTTCAGAAAATATTTCATCCAGTATTACAAATATTCGAAGAATTGAATACCGATCCTAAAAGAAACCTTCAAATTAATATAATGTGTACATGTTTTCAGTGACATATAGGAGATGGACAAAGTTTCTTTTATTTTGTTTTAATTAGGTTAAAATAAAAGTAAAAGTAAAATAAGAAGAGAACAAAAAAAATATAAAAGAAGTACTGGTATTTGAGGACCATATGGGATTTTCCCAAAGCATCTAAGACCTTTGTTTTCTCTTCAGCCTCTCTGAGTGATCTAATTTCTGCCTTCACCCTATGTTGTATCTCTAACTTCAGAATTTTCTGAGCTGCTTCAGATGCCTCAATTGCAGCCTTATATTTTGCTTGGTCCCTTTCCTCAGCAAGCAGTAGCTCCTGTAATCTTTTCTCTTCTTTCATTTTCCATTGCTCCAATTGAATTGCCTGTTTAATTAAGTTGCATTTAGACACTCAACGATAATCTATGCATGCTCGAAACAGAAAGTTTCAGGCTATACTGTACTGGTTCAATTTTTAGTTTATATGCAACATATTATTAGATGTTAGCTTACATATATTGCGCAAGTTTTGACATAATTTTGAATTATGAGATTAATGTTTTTATATAGCTAATATTAAATATAATTTGTTTCCATATTAATTAATGTGTATTAATTGTTCAAACTTCAGCAATATTCAAAGTACATATTGATTTAATAAACTCAAAATTTGTGTCCAAAAATGATGTTGACTTAAACTCTGTACTTAAAATCCAGACTTCTGCTCATGGATATAGAAAGGTATTTCATACACTTCCGTGTGAGATTGTTTAATATTAAGTATACTCAAAGTTATGGGAAACTATAAATAGAACCCCTTATAATTATTTAAAAAAACCCCTAGAGACGGGGGTTTAATAATTATAGGGGGGTTTATAAATTTTAATAATTTAAAAAGGGCATTTAATAATTATAGGGGAGTTTATAAAATAAACCCCATAATAAACGATCGATCCCACAAGGGGTATATAAAATAAACCCCATATAAAAGCTAACTCTAATTAATATGAGTTGATAATATGTAGCTCGCGAAATTTTATTAATTGAATCTTAAATGACCATATTTACTTCACGACTGCTGTTGGCTCTTAAATATATTCATTGTTTGGTTGATATTCTAAATTTTACATTCTAAATGATGTGGTTTTTTGGCTCATATCAAACAGCTTTATATTTTAATACAATATCTTGAATATTGGATGAAAATAATAACAGATTATAAAACAATAACAAAATAAAATTAATGTGTAATATATATGAGTGTGTGAATTATGCATCGAAGATATAAGATATTAGAAAAAAAAAAAAATAATGGGAAGAGATACATTACTCTTTAAGAAGTAAAGTTTGAAAATTTTCAGTACCTTATCTTTGGCAGCTAGTGTTTCTTTGTAGAGTGTATGGTACATTTCCACTGTTTGCTTAAGCTCCATCTTAAGCCGTTTAATCTCCTCATCAGTATCATCCTGCAAATTAATTACGTGAAATAGAAAGTAAAAATATAAATAATAAGCCTTCAATAAAGCAGATATTATATATTTAAAATTTTATAATTCTATTTTTAATTGGAAATTAATAGAGGACTAACCGTATTCTGAGAAGAATCAGAAGCTCTTTCACTGTCAAAAGAGCCTGATGGAATTTCAGAAAGAGAATTATGTGGAGCCCTGGAGGATGCTGAATTCCTTGAAGGATTCATTCCCAGATTTTCATAGAAGGCGAAAAAAGTGCTATCCGTGCTTGGCCTTCCAGAATTTATATACGAGTCCCCTCTCTCTGGAGCTGAAAACTCATCACACCTGCTTAATTCCAGAGAGTAATTATATCAAAAGTCACTTTCTAGTTAGGACGTTTTAGTATAAATTTTTTCAAGATTATGCTTAACATTGTTAGATTTATCTTATTGGACTAAAATGATATTTTATTGTTCAAATCCAATAATATATGTGCATAATTCTGACAAAATTATAGTAGGACAACTTGATTAGAGAATTACTGATTATATCAAAAAAATTTGAGAAAGAAGTGATAGTTATAATTGTAATACAAGTAGAAAATTAATGCTTACGCTATAGTGACTTCTTCATTGGAGATGTTTGTAGGGAGGATTTGAGGGTGTGGTACTTCTCCAGCTAAAATAGGTGGGAATGGACGAGTGGCAGATCGTGCAGCATGACACTTTCCTTTTGAAACAATATATACATTGCAAAAATCGGGTGCCCATTTCATTACTGTACTTGGAATATCTGTAGCCTTGAATAGTCTGCAAAATGCATTTATATTTGGAAGAAAATATAATAATTTTAATTTGACGGAAGTCGGGGCTCTACAAATAAAATAGAAGATTAAGTTTTTATAATACTATTTGTTAGAGTCCCACACCAATTAGCTATGCTCAAACCTATTATTTTATAAGAGGGATAATTCTTTAATTCAACAAGGTTTTACTGGGTGAACAGTCAGTCCACCTCAAATTCTATCATGATATCAGAGTCAGGTTCAGTTGAACTAAATGTTTGACTAGCATGTGAGTAGTTAGAACAAACAACTATCTTCATCAATAACATGACCCAACATATGAGTTTGACCGTAAAGGGGAGTATTGAAGTCTCACATCGACTAAACACACTCAACCCCACTGATTTATAAAAGGGGTAAACCTCCTATTTAACCATCTTTATTGGGTGAGAAATCAAGCCCATATCAAATTCTATCACCATTAATTTTTGGGTGTAAGGTCTATACGTCAGTAACAACACCAGAATTTATGTCGCTCGAAATTCCTACAGAAACCAAGTTTGCAGAAAACAATGATGTTTTGGCGTAGGGAGTACTTCCTTCTCTTGTAGTGATCATCACAGAAATAGTTTTTGGTTTCTCATTTTCCAATTTACAAAATGCTAAAACTTATTTTTATCTCAAATTTTTACTTGTAAAATATCAAACTTAGTCACCTTTCGCTCTCTCATGTACGTCTAATTCTTTCCATTTCTTATTGCACTTGTGTTGGATTTCCAAGACGAAAAAAGGGCTTTAATTACTAATTACATTAAAAAGATTTTCAGAGAGAAAATTCTTCAAAATAAACAAGGGTAATTTACCTGGTGAGGCCATTCTTTGATGGGGAACCAAGCAACAATGTTTTGACTGCATGATTGGAAACGTATTCGATGAGCGCTCTTGCCACATTCTGATGCTGGAGTACTACCAATTCACATTGTAGCTGAAAAATTAATTTAAATACAACCACTGGATTAAGTTTTATCAATTAAGGACTACAAATTTCATCTACCAATTTATCATAAGAAATAATTAAGCAGGGTTTTTACATTTCTGCGCGTACAAAAGCAACGAAATGGAAGAAAGACATCCATGGTTTGATTATCAGGATGCTGTTGAATCAGTTCCTCATCATTCCCCCCTGCATTCATGCCAAGAAAGAAATAAATATATATTTACTGATTAAGAAGAATTATATATATATATATATATATTTTATTTATGAAAATTCTCCTACACAGATGTCATGAAATTTTTAACATGTTGAAGAAATGTGAGCACGGGTTTGTGTCCGCACATTAAAAACTTTCATAACGTCCACATTAAACTAATATATGAAAATTCTCCAATAGAGAATGACTAACATATGAAATTTATTTTCAATGTGGACATCTGAAATTTTTAATATGCAGACAAAGGTGACCATCTAAGTTGTTGGCTTTTGATTTTAGGATTTGTGAAGTGAGCGATTAGACGCTCTCACCAATAACAACTTCAGGATGTTTGCATTGAAGAATATATGTATGTATCCCAAAGCTAATTCGTTTATCAAATCAAATATAATATATAAATGAGAAAAGTGAGAAAGAGAGACCTGATCGATGAAGAACATGGATGAGTTTGACGGTTTGGTTTCTGCGGAGAAGATGTTCAGCAGCCCATTTGAGAGCATATTTGCTGAATTTATCTTTGTCAACTGCCACTGCCACTAATCCATCTCTTCCTGATTCCCTTCTTTCTTCATTCCTTCGATGATCCAACATCTCTTTCTAATTTTCTCTAACTTGCCACCCTAATTGTTGCATTAGTTCATCATGATCGATGATTGAGATCCAACAAAACTATGAAAATACAGCACCTCTCCTTTCCCATCTCATTAACCAATGAATGGATGATTGTAATTAAGGGTCTAATCTTATGCTAATAAAAGTTTTACCAAACATTAGTTAGAGAGTCCATGTTTCAAGGGCAGTTACGATTATACATTTTAATAAATCAGCTTTCATCCAGTAAAATTACCAGCCTTCTCTTGCCACCAAAATCTACAATGCTTTAACAATAAAATATTGTTAAGAAAATAGATTAATAACTCAAAACAAGAGTAAGTCTATGAAATCATCTGATGTTATTAACGTGGTATCACAAGATAATACATGCATAAATTCATTGAAAGTGGTAATACCTCCGTTGTGTTCTAGATTTTTTCTATCTCAAAATACAAATAATCTATATCATTTTTTAAATAATTAATTATTCTGTATTGCTACTTGTTAGTCAATAGTTATTAGTTAGTTAATAGTTTATTTAAAAATTAAAGGGTAATTTTCCTTAAGATGTCATTTCGTTCCTTGAAACATTTTAGCATCCTCTTATTTGAAAAATAGTCACAAACCTCTTTCTATTATAATTAGGATTAACGACTTTTTCCCACCCAAATAATGGTTTAATGACACTTTCTTACCCACATATTTTTAAAATACTAATTTACTACCTAAATTTATATTCTAATGGCAAACAAAGAGCAAACTCAATCCAGGTTGTTAAGGTTTTTAAAGAGGGGAGGCCGACGAGTCTTTTGATAGTAGAATGTTATATTTTGATAGTTGGGATTGATTGGAATTTGACTTAGGAGAGACAGCTATGCAAACTCTAATCACTCGATTGTCGACGATTGGTATGGTCGACAAGAGTAAGGATTGAGAGGTTTTGGAGAGTGATGATTGAGGAAAAGAACGATGGTGGTGTGAGATCACAATGATGCTGGAAACGGAAACGGAATATAAATTTAGGTAGTAAAATGGTATTTTAAAAGTCTATGGGTGGGAAAGGGCCGGATGAGAAAAAGTCATTTACTCTTATAATTATTATATCATTATTATTATTTTTACTAATGAATTAAAATATCATAATACATATCACTTCTAATCTGAACTTATATTTAAATGTTAAATAAATTAGACCAAAATTAATTTTAAGAATATATCAACTAATTATAACATAACACTCTTTAAATTTTCATAGTGCATATATTATAAGTAAAATATAATTATTTACCAATAAATTAAAATTTGAATAATATAAATATAAATATTAAATTTATTTCTTTATTGATTAAAGATTTAGTATATTTTAGCTTATAACGTATATGTTGACATTGGAATGAAGATATTGCGCAGTAAATGGAGGATATGATATGGCTCTAATTAGCGTATGATTATGCGATTACCTTTTTTTGTAAAGATCATGACATTATTTTCTTCTATTTCCTTTCCTTACTTGTATAAATTGTACATGAACAATTCTTCTCAAAGTCTTTATTCTTTTTCTTCTCTCTCGGCATACTTCAGTAGCATAGCTGCCTCTCCAATCTCCTTATTCTGACAGTATAATATGTCTAATTTAATATCACCCAACACAAAACATCACTACGAATAGTTTAATTCTGTCTAACCTGGCCCTTAGATTTTAATCTAGCCGAGGCTCTCAAACCATGGATGTTCCCAGTATTTTGAAGCAGTCCCGGCTAAACTAAATTTTATTTTCAACAAAAAACGTACTAACTATAACTTTACAAATTAAATGAAAAACATATTTTAAATTGTAACAAAAAAAATAGAAAAATAAAATACCTATTTACACCTATAATTGTCATTTAAACCACATCTTCATCTTTCTCTCCATTAAAGAAGTACAAGTCAATCAAACATATAATTATCACAAAATAAAGTACAGACGCACAATCTGAATCTGAAGGCTGGGTATGTATTAGAGTTACATAGCTAGAAAGCTGGTTGTCCACTATTCAAGAAGCTCTCACAACTTATATACACCCGGTAACAAAGCATCAATGTGTTTAAACCATGTTGTTAAGAGTTTGAAGGAGAAGGCCTTGATCAATGAAACAAAAAGTAAATGCACTTGGTGACATTTTTATAATAAATTTTTATTATAAATTACTTTAATATTTCATCATAGGAATAAACTAATTATAGAGTCAAAGATCAAACATAAGTAGATAATTTAATATCCATTAAAAAGCCATTCATAAGGAAATAGAGGGAGCTAGAGAGAGATGTAAAGTCAGCGTTTAGAATCCCGTCTCAACTGGAGCTTTTCACCTTATTTTTACAGTGATAAAAGAAGCAATATTGTTGCACACCAAACCCAGACCACATTCATTCATCAATCAAAATACTAAATAGTTACTTGTTTTATCTAAGTGTGTAAGACATGAGCTGCAGTTTATATAAGAGAACAAAAAATTAACGAAATAATTAATTGCTTGAAGACCTTAATTAGGAGTAAGATGAGAAATCATCAGACTTTCCTCTTGAAGACCTAAGATCAGCTTCACTAGCATAAGAAGAGTAGAAATCGTCATCCATGTCCTTTTCCTTTAATTCTTCAATCCTCTCAACAGCCTCCTTCAACTCCAACCTCTTCTCCACCTCCGCTTCACAACAAGCCAACCCAATCTTTAATAATTTGTTCATTTCCCCTTCACTATTCTTTGTTCCTCCCATATCTTTATCATAAACTTGGCTTTTGTTTTCTACGTAATTTCCATTGCCAACAATCGACATCACCCAATTTGCCAAATCGATTTCACTTCTCTTCCCTTGTTGCAAAAAGTTAGCGGGGAATTTCCCTGTTAGAATTTCTAATATCAATACCCCAAGACCCCATACATCTGTTTTCTTTGTGATTCTTCCATATTGTAAAGATTCCGGAGACTTATAGGCCACCATCAAGTCTTGGGCACTCTCTTGGTTGATTACAGGAATCAATCCGTAGTCTGAAAGAAGTGGCTCAAATGATTCCTTCAAAAGAACGTTTGAGGATTTCAGGTGACCATGAGGTGCTATTAGGCTTGGTAACTCCTTATAAAGATACGCAAGACCCTTGCTAACGCCTTTAATAATTTTTAATCGGGTTGGCCAATCAAGACTTGGTTGCCCCATAGAATGGCGTCCTGAAACAAACAAATTAAACTACAATACTTACCAAAATTGTTCGATAGAAATGTTTTTCAAATAGTATACGAATACAATCTTATAAAAGCTAGTGTAAAAAATAAAAAACGATCCTTTTCACAATTTTTTTATAGTTTTTAATTTAAAAATAGTTTTTGAATATTATTTCAAATACTTTTTTAAATATTAAAAATACTAAAATACAATCTATAAGAGTTTTGAATACTATATCAAATACATTTTCAACAACTGAAAATTTGGAATTGTAGTTTAGCTTGTGAAATTTTGGAATTGTATTACTCGACAATAGTCCTATCATTTATGCAGGTAAATCAAGATTAAAGAAAAAGAATATACCATGAAGATGAACCGCCAAGCTTCCCCTTTGAACAAAATCAGAAACCAACAATTTCTCTTCCTTCCTATAGTAATAAGCCACAAGAGGGAGCAAATTAGCATGCCTTAATCTTCCTAATCTCCTCATATGCTCTTGAAAATCTTCTCTACCAACATTATTCATTTGCTTAAACCTCTTAACAACCATCATTGCACCAGGGCCGAGAGACGCTTTGTATGAAGATCCAAAGCACCCACTGCCCAATATTTCCGCAGAGGATCTCAGCAATCCCTGTAAATCAAACTTTTCTCTGTCGTCTCTTACAAAAGAAAGCTTGGTAGATTGATCACTCTTCTTGCCTCCAACGGCTGAGATTTCCTGTGAATATGTTGACGGTTGCTCTGATTCCCTAATGCCTGATTTCTTTTGGAAGTTTGAGGGTAATGGAGACTCTATTGTTTCGGGTTCTTCTTGTTTCCGCCGACGGAGGATGAAGAGGGTGGCGAGTATGGCTGCCAGTGCCACCACTGCAACTATTGAGAAAATTATTATGGTCAACGTGGCAGTATTATCTTCTGTGGGTAAGGGCTGAGGTGGGGAGTTGTTGGGACCAGGGTTGGGTTTGGGCTTTGGTTCGGGGTCAGATTTGGGGCTGGTCTGGGAGTTTGGGGAGAGGCTATCTTCGCTCACGCTGGGATTGGGTTCGAAGTTAGGTGTGGGGCTAGGGCTAGGACTGCGCTCGGATTTGGTTCCATCACATGAATCCAATGGCCCACCACATAATCCTTTATTGCCTATTACATGTCAAAGAAAGAACGAGACATCAAATTTTAGTTAAAACATTTTTAACTGTTTCAACAATCAAACCAATCTCCTTTTTACTTCTGGTGAACAATTCATTTTTGTTAATCTAATGGTGATGAAAATTGTTTAAATTGATATAATTATTTTTTACACCGTTAGATCAAGAAAGACTAATAACTCATAAGAAGTACCAAAATTAATTATAAGATGATCGACTCATAATTTAAAATTTCAGGTTAATAAATAAGATTTAAAATTGTAAACTGGTAAGATACAACCTTTATGGACAATTAAATTATCATGAATTTGTATGTGCACTCTTATTCTAATTAGACTAACCCTAGCAATTTTATTTTTTATTTTTTGGACAGTTGATTGTGGAGTGCAGAATTCTAATTATGATTATGTTCTACGCTTTATGAATATTTAACTAAAGCTTGCAACATAACACTGTATACGTGAACAAAATATACCTTCATGCACGTTCAATTTCATGTTTTAATTTATTTTTTCTATAAACTGTGAAAGAACAAATAAAAGAAGAAATAATATGCAAGGATAATAAGTTAATGACCTGAAAAAGAGGAAGGATCCAATTCCTGGAGGCTTGGCGGGATAGGACCCGTCAAGGCATTGTTGGAAACATTGAAAACTTGAAATACATTCTGTTGAAAATCTGGGATCTCACCTTCAAATTGATTCCCTTCCAGACTCAACTCCCTTAATTTAGACAAACTCGTTAAGGACGATGGTATTGCACCAGAAAAATTATTATCTGCCAAATAAAGTTTCTTTAATGAGGTAAGATCCTCAAACTCATCCCTTGGAATATCCCCAGAAAATTTATTATGTGACAAATAAACCGATTTCAATGCACTGAGTTTGCTCAAATCAGGTATTGGACCTTCAAACTCATTATTCATCAAACTTATGGTTCTCAAATCCTTCAATTCAGCTAGATTGCTCATCTCAACTTTGCCTTTTAGCCCCATGTTTTCAAGTTTTAGACCCCAAATGCTACCTTTATTACAAAGAACACCAAACCAATTTGCATCATTCCCATCGCATGGACTGGTTTCATCATCCCAATCGTACAATGAAGACGAGTCCGACAGTGAAGATTTGAAGTTAACGAGGATTTCGGAGTCCGATAAACTAAAACATGCAACAAGAAAATACGTCATCAGGTGAAGAAAAAGAAGTAAAAACAAGGGCTTATCTTGAAGAGTCATGGCATAGTAATCGGGCGTCAGACGCGCGCCCTGAAGAGATGGGGCCGGCCAGCTGCAATGGAGAATTGGTGTTTTTTTTAATTATTTTTTGAGGGGGTGGAGAAATGGCTTGGAAGTGAAGTTGAATTTTGAGGGCGTAGAGAAGAGAGAAAAATGTGCTAAGAATAGGGAAGACTTAAGCTAATTATTTACAAACCAAATTAAAAGAGGAAAATGAAAGGGGGTTTGTATTGTTGAAACAGTCTTTCTTTCCTCTTTGTGTACGAGTGGTGTATGAGAAATTTTCGGTTTGCCTTTCAATGTGACACACTTTTCTTTTATTATATTTATACATTTCTTACTTTTTGTTTTTCTTATTTTATCTTTTCTATGCCTCAAACCTTATTCAAATCCATCAATTATAAACAATAATATTAATCACCATCCTAACAATTAGTTGTTTTTATGTTTTATCTTTTCTATGCCTCAAACCTTTTTCAAATCCATCAATTATGAACAATAATTTATATCAATCTGCATCCTAGCAATTAGCTGCTTTTTATTTATTTTTTATTATGTGAAACAAATCAGTCACAAAATTAGTCATATATTGAGAATTTTTAGACTGTCATTACCATTTAGTTCCAATTATTTGTATTTCTCAATGATCTTGTTTTATAGCAACATATATTAGTTGATGATGAAGACATTGAAGAGCATAATAAAAAAAATAAAAAAATGTCACTATGTGTATACTTATTGACATTTATTTATATTGTTAGATACATATTTTGTAACTACTATTTAATCAACGAAAATATAAATAGAGAGGATCTATTTTGTCATTTCAATATTTATAATTTTTTTTTTCTTATTTATCTATACATATAGAGTTGATCGTATAATACTCCATGTATATATAAAATAAATATTTGAAAATTTGAAAATAGAAATAAAATATAAGAAATTTAGACATTATATAACTCCAAAATTGGGTAATATAAATAACAGAGCACATTAATAAAAATTTTAACAATCTCAACCTAATTACATATATACAAATTAAATATATATTAATATTATAAAATATTAAATTAAGAGCAATTAAATTATTTTATTCAATAATTAAATTTTAAATTATATTACATTTTATTAATAATTCAATAATTCAGTAATTAAATATGAATTAATATTTTAAATAATTATATAAATAATTAATGAACTAGTTAAATAATTAAAATATGTTATAATATATATATAGTTAAATTTTAAGCTATTTGTAAAGTTAATTTAATATAATCTAACTTCAATTAAATTTTTCAAAAATTCAAAATTGTTTAAATTATTACATCTAATCATTTAAATAATTAATGATACAATATCTCTCTAATTTTGGTTCTTCGACAAACACATGACCGTACTAAATTTAATCCAATCTAATTCTCTCCAATCCACTAGAGCTCAGTAGCAAAGAATTAGTCCAATCTATTTGTTAGAAGCTACGAGACAGAAAATGAATTGGGAAATCTTTATTCAATCAACTCAAGTCTATTTTTACAACTACTGTGGCTCTTTTAAATAACTAATTACAACCAATTACAATATGCAGTAGTAACAAAAACTAATACAGTAGATCTTTTATAGTAATACTTTATATAAGAATAACTTCTATGTAGTTATAAAAACTTTTAATCCCAACTTGAGTCAGTTATAAATAAAAATAAATTTCACATTGTACTAAGTTATAATTTTTCTAGATCTCGTCTTAAGGAACTTGCATTTACATAGTAATAATTATATACATATTGCAAAAAATATATGTTATGTTACATTAAAGGTTTAAGATGAAATAACATATTTATCTAAAGTTGTTTGGGACAATGATTTATACTTTAGAATTGTTACTACATCATTTATCTTACGAGTACATAATAAGATATAAGCATGAACACCTTCTTGTTGAAACCAAAATATTTCTAACTCTCAAGCATGTTTAGAGCTTCTTGGCATAAATTTTTTGGTAATTCCGTACTATCATTCTTAAAATTATCTCATTCATCTTCTTGTCTAATTCTAGTAACGATTTTTTTTTCAGTTAAAACATACACGACTAGTTGCTCATTTATATTTTTGAAGAAGACATTAATATCCATTTGATTAGTGTAGTGAAGTTGTCAAATCCGATCACTCAATTTTACAGTGACTTTTTGATATCTATTTATGTGCTATCCTAATGCTACTAAAATAATGAATCGAAATCCTAATACTACTAAAACATGAATTATAAAATAAGAAATTAAAACAATAATTCTTGCAACTACACCTCTATTAAATTATAACCTCCTTATAGTAATAAATTTAATTGGTCTCAATATTATGACTATAGAGAGGTTCTACTGTATAACTAATATGCCCTCTCAAGCTGATACTGATTGATGAACATCAAACATACCAAGCTTGGACATGAGAATGTGATGTTGTTGCTTGCATAATCCCATGGTCATCAAATCAGCAGGCTGTTCACTAGGGGAGATGTATGTAGTTTTAATTAATTTTTTATCAATCTTTTCACGAATCATATGACAGTCAATCTCAACATAGTTAGTTCGTGAGTAATACTAGCCTTACAAAGAGGCATACAAAGAACCATACAAAGAGTCAAATCCAGCCCTTGAAATTCATGATTACCTCTTTCTTTCTCTCTTTTTCCCTTCTTTCAAGGGCTGGATTTGACTCTTTGTATGACTCTTTGTATGCATCTTTGTAAGGCTAGTATTACTCTTAGTTCGTTCATGGTATACTAGATTAGCAGCAATATGTAGGGCAGCTTTTTGTCACAGTACAATAGTGTTGGTAACAGAAGTTTGATGCCTAAATCAGGGAGCAAATTTTGTATCCAAGGAATCTCGCAACAAGTGGATGCCATCGATCTATATTCAACCTCACAAGATGATCTAGAAACAGTAGATTGTTTGTTTGTTTTCCAGGAAATTAAAGATTCTCCAAACTTGATATAATAACTAGTTAAAGACCTTTTAGACATTGGACAGGCAAGGTCATACCTTCATGCATGTTCAATTTCATGTTTTAATTTATTTTTTCTATAAACTGTGAAAGAACAAATAAAAGAAGAAATAATATGCAAGGATAATAAGTTAATGACCTGAAAAAGAGGAAGGATCCAGTTCCTGGAGGCTTGGCGGGATAGGACCCGTCAAGGCATTGTTGGAAACATTGAAAACTTGAAATACATTCTGTTGAAAATCTGGGATCTCACCTTCAAATTGATTCCCTTCCAGACTCAACTCCCTTAATTTAGACAAACTCGTTAAGGACGATGGTATTGCACCAGAAAAATTATTATCTGCCAAATAAAGTTTCTTTAATGAGGTAAGATCCTCAAACTCATCCCTTGGAATATCCCCAGAAAATTTATTATGTGACAAATAAACCGATTTCAATGCACTGAGTTTGCTCAAATCAGGTATTGGACCTTCAAACTCATTATTCATCAAACTTATGGTTCTCAAATCCTTCAATTCAGCTAGATTGCTCATCTCAACTTTGCCTTTTAGCCCCATGTTTTCAAGTTTTAGACCCCAAATGCTACCTTTATTACAAAGAACACCAAACCAATTTGCATCATTCCCATCGCATGGACTGGTTTCATCATCCCAATCGTACAATGAAGACGAGTCCGACAGTGAAGATTTGAAGTTAACGAGGATTTCGGAGTCCGATAAACTAAAACATGCAACAAGAAAATACGTCATCAGGTGAAGAAAAAGAAGTAAAAACAAGGGCTTATCTTGAAGAGTCATGGCATAGTAATCGGGCGTCAGACGCGCGCCCTGAAGAGATGGGGCCGGCCAGCTGCAATGGAGAATTGGTGTTTTTTTTAATTATTTTTTGAGGGGGTGGAGAAATGGCTTGGAAGTGAAGTTGAATTTTGAGGGCGTAGAGAAGAGAGAAAAATGTGCTAAGAATAGGGAAGACTTAAGCTAATTATTTACAAACCAAATTAAAAGAGGAAAATGAAAGGGGGTTTGTATTGTTGAAACAGTCTTTCTTTCCTCTTTGTGTACGAGTGGTGTATGAGAAATTTTCGGTTTGCCTTTCAATGTGACACACTTTTCTTTTATTATATTTATACATTTCTTACTTTTTGTTTTTCTTATTTTATCTTTTCTATGCCTCAAACCTTATTCAAATCCATCAATTATAAACAATAATATTAATCACCATCCTAACAATTAGTTGTTTTTATGTTTTATCTTTTCTATGCCTCAAACCTTTTTCAAATCCATCAATTATGAACAATAATTTATATCAATCTGCATCCTAGCAATTAGCTGCTTTTTATTTATTTTTTATTATGTGAAACAAATCAGTCACAAAATTAGTCATATATTGAGAATTTTTAGACTGTCATTACCATTTAGTTCCAATTATTTGTATTTCTCAATGATCTTGTTTTATAGCAACATATATTAGTTGATGATGAAGACATTGAAGAGCATAATAAAAAAAATAAAAAAATGTCACTATGTGTATACTTATTGACATTTATTTATATTGTTAGATACATATTTTGTAACTACTATTTAATCAACGAAAATATAAATAGAGAGGATCTATTTTGTCATTTCAATATTTATAATTTTTTTTTTCTTATTTATCTATACATATAGAGTTGATCGTATAATACTCCATGTATATATAAAATAAATATTTGAAAATTTGAAAATAGAAATAAAATATAAGAAATTTAGACATTATATAACTCCAAAATTGGGTAATATAAATAACAGAGCACATTAATAAAAATTTTAACAATCTCAACCTAATTACATATATACAAATTAAATATATATTAATATTATAAAATATTAAATTAAGAGCAATTAAATTATTTTATTCAATAATTAAATTTTAAATTATATTACATTTTATTAATAATTCAATAATTCAGTAATTAAATATGAATTAATATTTTAAATAATTATATAAATAATTAATGA